AAAAAAATCCGATTCAATGTGAAAATTTTCAATTTTTATCACGTTATTCTCCAAAAAATAATTATCACGTGAATATTTAAAATATCAAAACCAACGTGGCTTCTTTTTTCATTCATTTCTAATTTTCCCATTTTCACCAGTGTGTTGTCTCGTTCGTTATTTCGATTAAGAGTTCTGGAAACAACTACATTTATAACAAGGTAATTACGAGATTTAACCTAATTAATCGAAAAAAAAACTGTAAAAGAACGAAAGAAACTAGGTAAAATGGGTTTATTTAGAAAAATTGAATGAATTCCGCAATATGTCGTCATTTTAGTTGTTTACGAAAGACTACAGTAGTCAAAACGCCACGATTTTTATTGTCATCGTGTCTTGATTTAATTTTAATTTCATGGTTTCTTAAATTTTTTGCTTATTATTTTAAAGAAAACAAATAAGAATTCATTTTCAGACCATTTTTGCTCCGACTTTTTCGTTTGAGCTCTTCATACAGCGACAAGCGGCTAATAAACAGTTGTGTAAGTGTTTTCTTTTTCTTTTATGTTTTTCAAAGTTTTTTACGAATTTGTTGAAATTAAAAAATATTTTAAAAGTTGCGATTTCCCTTTGTCCCGACATCGAAGGTTCCGAACCGCTGTGAGCGTGTCTCGAGAACATTCGTTGAGTCGGATTTGAGAGAGCCCGCACGGACGCCGCGTTCTCGTGCCACGAGACGCGGACCAACGTCCCGCTTCGGTGACCCATAGGGTCCGACCCAGGAGGGAATGCCTGGGGAGTCTAGGCGCACACGGTGGAGTGGCGTCGGGACTATTCGATGTAGGGACTGCCAAATTGGCAACAAAATTTCGAAGGTTACTTTCTTCCTGAATACGCAACAAAATAAATTTTAAACTCAAAATGTTCATAGAAATCAATAGAAAATGTCTTCTAATTATAATAAAAATTTTTCATGATCACTGTGCAATAAAATGACCAACACAAGAAGGATGACGAACATTAATGGAAGGACTTGAAGCAGTGATATTTATTACTTCCTTATCCTTTTTTTAATGTTTCGTTTCAGATTGAAAAAATTCGA